TAGTCATTTAAGGTTTGTATGTGGCCTTAAACCTGCGACCCAGTGGTGGAGGGCTAGTGGTAGCAGAATGTCAGACGCCTTAACCACCTGGCAGCGATACGGGGATCCTTAATATTATTTTTTGTGCAAGACAAACGACTCAATCATAACCATGTTCTAGCAAAGACTAAATAAAGAAAAAAATAGGTAGCTTTAGGTAACTATATTAAAAGAAACAAGTATAAAATGAAAACTGAATAAATGTAAGACCATTGACTTGTTTGTTCAATTTTATTAAAAAAAAAATGTTTTTTATTGAAATTCTTGTTTACCTGGTACATACTTAACCACAATGATTGCAAAACTATGATTTTTCAAGGAAAATAATTGATAATAAAGTGTATTCATAATACAAAGAAAAGTAATAACTCTCAAAAATATGCTATTATTTAACTAATTTACCCCTGAGGACACATTTGAACTCTTCCAATTCAAGCTTGGAATAGTTCATTATGAAATTTCATGGGTGAATGAGTTAAATAACAGAGAATTGAATTTGAAACTTGAATGAGCCTTTTGCTGATGATATTTTTGAGCAGGTTATTTTTTTACTGGGTATAAAGTAGAGAGGAAGGGAAAAAACAAAGTGTTTTTCATGACTTCACATAATTATCACAACAATCTTTTCAAATTGCCTACTGAGCCGAGACAGTCACTTAAATTATTCATGTGGATAATGCATGTTATACATTGTATGTGTTTATATACATACCCATTAAATTTTTTACATACGATCTGAGAATCATTTTTTCTTATGATATATAATGCTTATTGTTTTCAATGCAGGATTACCGGTACCTATATTTTTAAAAACATGAAATAGGTACTTATTTTTTGTAATGTTTTAGATCTACTTTCTATTATACAGTGCCCAAATTTAAATGACTATTTGCTGACAGAAATATTTTTCAAACATCAAACACGACGCGCCCCCCTTCTCCGGATTTTCGAAATATAACTCATATTCTTATCATAAAATTACAGAATTCATTATGTCAGATTTTTCATAATTTAAAAATACTTTTCAAAGGTTCTATACTGAGACAGCATTTCTGTCACACTTTGAGCGGTGCTTATGTCAAATTACTGATTAAAATACGAAGGTAGACGCTAAAATCTAGGGTAAGTAAGGAACACCAGGGAACACAAATTTGTGTTTTGAGGCTTTAAAAGCTGTCTTGCATCATTTCCTTGGGGTAACCATGGTATTTGTTTTTATCAAACAATCATCAATTATGAACTTTTGTTCAGGTGAGTATGTGGTTAAATGGACCCGGGAAAGTGATATTGACCCAAACAAAGTTGATGTCAATATAACTTTTCAAGTCCATAATACTACTTATTAAACGAATCAAAAGTCCTTAATTATTAATTATATCAGATGAAAGATCATGTCATTTTATTATTAAACAACATACATGAAACCTTAGGTAGCAGTGTACAGTAGCGTACGGTGGCCATGGGAGATATTTTTATACAATGAATAACCCATGTAATATTACATGTATCAAAGTTTTGACAAAAAAATCAGCACTAAAATTGGCATATACATGATGAAGTGAACTATGTGGGCTTCACATTTAAAAACAAAATCGAATTTGGTTTGAGACTCCATTTCTAGCCATTTACAACACAACAAAAGCTAGCTCACCATGTAGTCTATTTTTGTAATCAGCACATGTGTAAATATTGTGAAAAATCCAGTTGAACGACATATGCTTAAACGTGAGTATTTCTGTTACCGAGTAGGTGATATTCAATTTAAGACAGGTTTTTAGAAAAAAATTACTACTTGCGTGGGTCAAATTTTGGGTTAGACATCATGTTTTTTTGTATTTTTTGATGCGGTAACCATGGTTTTCAGAAGTCCCAAATCTTGGAAAATCACTTTTTGAAAAAAAGGACATTCTTCTAAACAAAATGTATTCAAAATGTAGTTTATAAATATAGACATATAGGTGTATTGTGCAGGATAAATCCGCTATCCATGTTTATCTGAGACATATGCCCTTTTTTTTAGGATCAAGCCATTTCTACTGTACTCTGCTACCTTATGAAAAATCATAAAAAAATGGGCTGCATTTGGCAGTGAGCGTTGTGAATTTTCAATAGAAGTGATCACCACGTACAGATAATATTAACCTGATCTTTCTAAAAATAGCAACACCAAGTCAATATCACAACTCACAGACATTCACATTCACCTGATACAACCAAAGAGGATGTAGGATAAAATAGTGTGATCTAATAATAAAGGATAGGAAACCTTTGGATCTATCAATCAATACAATTAAAAAAAAGACCATTGAGATGACCATTTAAGAACGATTCCCCAGATATCGTGCAAAATACCACTTATATATAAAGGTTACCATAAATGAAATAATGTTAAAAACGAATCTAGAAAGTTCAACAACTTCTGGAACCAAAGTGGTAAAGTATTGGTTGACAGAAGAGTCAGTGAAAGAGACAGATGAGTCACTGAAAGAAATGGACGAGTCACTGAAAGAGACAGACAAGTCACTGAATGAAAAAGAAGAGTCAGTGAAAGAGACAGACAAGTCACTGAATGAAACAGACGAGTAAGTGAAAGAGACAGATGAGTCACTGAAAGAAATGGACGAGTCACTGAAAGAGACAGACGGGTCATTGAATGACACAGAAGAGTCAGTGAAAGAGACAGACAAGTCACTGAAAGAGACAGACAGGTCACTGAAAGAGACAGACAAGTCACTGAAAGAGACAGACAAGTCAGTGAAAGAAACAGACGCGTCACTGAATGAAACAGAAGAGTCAGTGAAAGAGACAGACGAGTCACTGAATGAAACAGAAGAGTCACTGAAAGAGACAGACAGGTCACTGAATGACACAGAAGAGTCGTTGAAAGAGACAGACGAGTCACTGAATGACACAGAAGAGTCAGTGAAAGATACAGACGAGTCACTGAATGAGACAGAAGAGTCAATGAAAGAGACAGAAGAGTCAATGAAAGATACAAGAGTCAGTGAGGAGACAGACGAGTCAGAGAGGAGACAGACAAGTAACTGAAGGAGACAGACAAGTCAATGAAGGAGACACACAAGTCACTGAAAGAGACAGAAGAGTCAAAGAAAGAGACAGAAGAGTCAATGAAAGATACAAGAGTCAGTGAGGAGACAGACGAGTCAGAGAGGAGACAGACAAGTAACTGAAGGAGACAGACAAGTCAATGAAGGAGACACACAAGTCACTGAAAGAGACAGAAGAGTCAAAGAAAGAGACAGAAGAGTCAATGAAAGAAACAGACGAGTCACTGAAAGAGACAGAAGAGTCAGTGAGGAGACAGCCGAGTCAGTGAGGAGACAGACAAGTCACTGAAGTAGACAGACAAGTCAATGAAGGAGACAGACAAGTCACTGAAAGAGACAGAAGAGTCAATGAAAGATACAGACGAGTCACTGAAAGAGACAGAAGAGTCAGTGAGGAGACAGAAGAGTCAGTGAGGAGAATGACAAGTCACTGAAGGAGACAGACAAGTCACTGAAAGAGACAGAAGAGTCAAAGAAAGAGACAGAAGAGTCAATGAAAGAAACAGACGAGTCACTGAAAGAGACAGAAGAGTCAGTGAGGAGACAGCCGAGTCAGTGAGGAGACAGACAAGTCACTGAAGGAGACAGACAAGTCAATGAAGGAGACACACAAGTCACTGAAAGAGACAGAAGAGTCAATGAAAGAGACAGAAGAGTCAAGGAAAGAGACAGAAGAGTCACTGAAAGAGACAGAAGAGTCACTGAAAGAGACAGAAGAGTCAATGAAAGAGACAGAAGAGTCAGTGAGGAGCCAGACGAGTCAGTGAGGAGACAGACAAGTCACTGAAGGAGACAGACAAGTCACTGAAAGAGACAGAAGAGTCGATGAAAGAGACAGAAGAGTCAATGAAAGAGACAGAAGAGTCAGTGAAAGATACAGACGAGTCACTGAATGAAACAGAAGAGTCACTGTAAGAGACAGACAGGTCACTGAATGACACAGAAGAGGCGGTGAAAGAGACAGACGAGTCACTGAATGAAACAGACGAATCCCTGAATGAAACAGACGAGTCACTGAATGAAACAGCAAGGCCCTGAATGAAACAGAGGAGTCACTGAATGAAACAGACGAGTCCCTGAATGAACACAGAAGAGTCAGTGAAAGATACAGACGAGTCACTGAATGAAACAGAAGAGTTAGTGAAAGAGACAGAAGAGTCACTGAATGACACAGAAGAGTCAGTGAAAGAGACAGACCAGTCACTGAATGAAACAGAAGAGTCACTGAATGAGACAGAAGAGTCAATGAAAGAGACAGAAGAGTCAGTGAGGAGACAGACGAGTCAGTGAGGAGACAGACAAGTCACTGAAGGAGACAGACAAGTCAATGAAGGAGACAGACAAGTCACTGAAAGAGACAGAAGAGTCAATGAAAGAGACAGAAGAGTCA